GCTGTTCCAGCCCCTGGACCCCCAAGGAGGAACTGGGCAGTGCTGGGGCTCAGACATTTGACACAGCTCCAGTTGTATTCCCAGTCTCACCTCTCACCCAGCACCCCCTGCCCAGCACTGCCCAGTTCACCAGTGTCCCCCACGTCCTCTGGTTCATCTGATATCATTGGCAAAATAGGGTTGAAAGGATTTGTGTGGGAGATAGGGATTGCTGCTGCTGCCAGAGATTGGGATTTGTGGGATCGTCGTCACCTGCAGTCTGGGAACACTTGGAATACCAAGATAAGCACCTGAGCCCTCCTTCCCTTCCCAGCCCAGGTGGAGATCCTGCAGCAGAGTGCTGGGATCAGAACATGATCCTGCAATCTCTGGGGAAGGGTGACAGCACTGCAGAATCATGGGATCATTTATTTAGGTTGGAAAAGGCCTTTAAGATCATCAAGTCCAAGCATTAAGTGAGGGGATGGGAACAGACAGTGATCAGACTCCTCCTGGGGCAAAGGTGGGGAAGGAGCTGCACCTGGACAGGGAGCAGGACGGGAAGGATGGGGCAGAGGGAGGACTCAGCTCTGCTGTCACACTGTGCCCTTTGCCACTGGCCACAGCTCTGACTTTTCCCCTCCTTGCATGGCCACTGTCTAATGTCAGCACAGCCACGACCTTCACCCTCAGTCTGGTGTAACATCCAGGCTTTCCTGTCCCAAAAAAGGAGTGGGAAGGTAGAGCCTGGCAGCAGCTGCTTCAGGAACAGGGGCTGGAATCCTTCCCAGGGGGGGACTGTGCCTTGTTGTCCTGCGGGTGAACAAATCCTGGTGTGGAATCAGAAGGCAAATGTGGGATGCAGGATGGGGGTAGGGACAGAGCTCTGGGAGTTCATGTGCCCTTGGCCAGGCTTGTGCAATCTGAAATTTGGGAGAGCTGAGCTGAGGATTGCACAGTCCAGGGCAGAGCTGGGAATATCAACAGGCAAAATATTTAAGGTGGGAAGGGACAGATTTGGGGACGTGGAATCACCTCATCGTGGCATGTCCAGATCTCTTGCAAGAATGAATTACCCGCTCATGTTCCAGCATTCCACCCCTCTAATCCTTATCTTTACAAGGAAGGGAAACTGAGGCAGAGGGCAGGGAATTGCTTCATGCACAGCCTCCCAGTTGGGCCCTTTCCCACCCAGCTGTGGGTCTGCAGCTGCTCTCATTTGGATAAGCTGCTCATAAGCTGCTCCTTCAGTTTTTGGGAGTCACACTCATGGTTGTCCTCAAATGGAAATTCCATGGCACAGGCCACATTCACCTCTGGCTGCAGGAAGCTTCCACGGCCTCTGGATAACAGCATTGCTTCAGGAGAGGCTCCTGGAGAGACCTCCTGGGCAGCCAAACAGGAATCTGAGTATAGCTGTTGGTGAAACTTGATTTTAAGGCCTGCAGTGAGAGCACAGATCCCTTTTGTGGGCAGTCCCTCCCAGCATCCCTCCTCCTGCTCCCCTGCATTGATCTGAGCCCCAGCCATGCAGTTCTTCCTGCTGCACAGCTGGAATCCCACAGGCACAGCTGGAATCCCACAGGCACAGCTCTCTGAGGAGCACCAGGCTGTTCCTCACGCCTCTCTCCAGCCTCCTCCAGACTAAACAAACCCGTTTCCTTCCAGCTGTCCTTGCAGGTCATGTTTTTCCTACACCTCTGCTCGTTCTCTCTGCTCTCCCTGGACACTCTCCAGCTCCTCCCAGGACTGGACAGTGTTCTCCCATCATCCAGGAGAGCTGTTTCCCATGTCTGGCACACAGCACTCCTGTTTACACATTCCACAGGCTGTTTGGCTTTTTGCTGTTGTTGTTACAATCTGACTCTTTGGGACTCTTTTATGCTTCACCACAAGCTCCAGTTTTCCTTCTGAGAGCTCTTGGGAAATCGCAGCAGGTTCAGGATGGAGCTGCTCCCCCTGCTAGGGGTGAAATGTTGAGCTCTGGCTCCCAGTTCTGCTTCCAGACCCAGCTTCAGGCTTTTCTCTGGAATATCCAGAAGCTGATGACCCAGGAGATGGGTAGCAAGGATAAGAGCACCCCACAGACCTGGATACAAAATCCTTCTCCAGGTTGGAGCCTCCTGATAGAGAGATGTGAGGATCTGCAGCAACAGCTGCCTGTGTGGTTGGAAGAGGTTTGGAAGTTCCATGGAGCATCCTGGGAGCTGTGAAGTGGAGGTTGGCTGTGAGTCCCAGCCCTGGGCTGGAGTGGGGACAGTGCCAGCTCCTGAGACAAGCCAGGCCCAGCACTCCACAAGGGAGCTGGGAACAGCTGGCAGTGAGCAGAGTGTGCTGTTGGATCTGGCTCGGGTTTGCCTCCAGAGGGCTGGAACAGCAACACGGATTCCAGCTGTGGGAAGCAGCAGCAGAGCCACGAGGACAGACGTCAGGAGACAGCCCTGGCTGGGGGTCCTGTGGCCAAGGAGGATGCACTGGATCTTCTCATCAAACTGCTTCTGAGGGACACACAGATGATTTCACCCAGGAATGTCCCTGATCTTGGTGTGAAGACATTCAGCTTTGCAATGGGTCTGGTTTGTGCTGTTCCTGTAATCCCTGGAAACCAGTAATCCAGAGCCCTCCCTTCCCAGACAGCCCTGGAGCTGACTGGTACCTGCTGTCACTGTGCCCATCCACAAAGCCACTGCAGTACCTGCTGCCACTGCCACTGTGTCAGTCCAAAAAGCCACTTGATCCTTTCCCTGTCTTTGGGGCACCACTCCAAGGACTTGCTCCCAGAGGATGACACTCTTTTGCTTCCTCCCCTTCCTGGCATTGTCCATACAAACGTCTTCTTTCCAGGTAGGGGAAGAGCCACCTCCTCTGCAGCTCTTCCTCCTGAAACATCCTCCCAAGGCACTTTTCCCTGTTATCTCTCACTTTTTACATTCCTCAAGAAGAATCTCATTCCTTCCCTGGGGGGAAATTTTTTTTTTTGTTGCTTTTTTTTCCCCCTCTCCCTATAAGTCTTAAATCCAAAGGCAAAACACGTGAGCTAGAGCAAGAGAGCAGCAAACCTCCAGAGCTGTGCAGAACCCTCTTAATTGAGTTCAATTAATTAGGAGATCTGTTGATGCAGAGCCTTTCCTCTGCAAATCCTGAGTTTAAGGCGTGCTGAATCCATAAACATGCAGGCAGCTTCCTGTGCTGTTGTGTTTCCATGACTAACACCCTGATGAGGATTTAAAAGTGCTGGAAGTGTTGGTTTGAGTCTTGTCAGGCAATGGTGGGATAGAACCTCCACACCTTGGCTCGGGGAAAACATCTCAAATCACAAGTAGCTTCTGTCACAGCCAGACTTCCCACACACCATTCCCAAATCTCCACTGCTCCCAGATTTAGCCTCCCCTGAGCGACGTCAGCGCTGAGAATGGCAATAACCAGGGGCAGAGGAGTGAGCTCACTCAGGATTTTTCGAGCAAACAGCACATTTGGGGGTTGCCTGACAACAAGCCCCTGCTCCACCCCCTGGGGCAGTTTGGGTGCCAGCTCTGACCTCGGTGTCTCAGTTCCAGGGGCTCCAGGTGGCGGCGAGGGGCAGGATGAACGTGGGGACGGCGCACAGCGAGGTGAACCCCAACACGCGCGTGATGAACAGCCGTGGCATCTGGCTGTCCTACGTGCTGGGCATCGGCCTCCTGCACGTCGTGCTGCTCAGCATCCCCTTCTTCAGCGTGCCCGTGGTCTGGACCCTCACCAACATCATCCACAACATGGTAAGGGGGAGCGCGCGGCCCCAGGCACAGCCGGCTGGCAGCTCCCTCTGCCAGCAGCATCGGGGCAGATTCCTGTCCAAACAATTCCTTTGCCTTTCCAAAGGTGCCTGCTGAGTTGCTCAATCTCCTCCCCTCAGCCTGTACCTGTGCCTCGAGGCCATGGATTTAAATCCAGCCCAGGTAGAGGTGAGGCAGCAGTGCCTGGTGAGGCTGCTCAGAGGGGATTTGGCAAGTCCTTTGTGGTGTCCCTTCCCAGAGGAGTCTGTGACAGGTCCCAGGGGCTCACAGCACATCACTTGGGTTGGTAAAACCTCAATTAGTCTCACCAGAGTTAAGAAAACAAGATTAAACCTCAAATTTTGTTCTGTTTAAAGAACAGAATCTGAGGAGCAGATTCTGCCCCTCTAAGAATCCCCAAACAGGTTCCCTCGGGCACAGGGGACAAAATGCTTCAGGGACGCAGTAGGGGATTCTGTATCTTTTGTTTTAGAGAACACCTCCGCCTGGGAATGTTCCAGAGACAAAAATGACATGGATGCTAAAGTTGTTACTAGTGAGGGATAAAACCCACCACAAAGCCACAAACTGGAGCTGCTCAGAGGATTAAAACCACCACAAACCCCCAAACTGGAGCTGCCCAGGAGATTAAATCTACCAGAAACCCCCAATCTGGAGCTGCTCAGGGGATTAAAACCACCAGAAACCCCCAAACTGGAGCTGCCAAGGAGATTAAAACCCCAAAAAACTCCCAAACTGGAGCTGCTGAGCTCATGAGCTTCTCATCCCCTTCTCTAGCAGCTTTAGGTCCTGGGAGCAAAAAAAAAGGAATGTAAAGTCCAGGAGTGTCTGTGCTTAAGAGCAGTGATGTAGCCAGACAGTGTTTATCTGTGTCCCCCCTGGTAATCAGGGGTTGCCAGAGCCTCTCCCAGCAGGTTTTCCTGCACATTCTGCCGCAGGCAGGTGCTAATCTCCCAATCCCAGCGAGCCCAGAGCTATAATCGCCACCACCTCCTTGGCTCACACCCAGGAGCAGAGGAGAGGCCTCGCACAGAGCAGCCTGAGCTGCCCCAGCCTTTCCCCACTCTTCCTCCCTGACCACTCCACGTTTTCCAGCATCACCATATCCCTCTAGTGGAACAGTTTTCCAGCATCACCACATCCCTCTAGTGGAGCAGTGCAGGGATGCACGACCCGACCCGCTGGGCTTAGGGGGATTGGGGGGGTTAAGGGGGGGCAGGACCCTGTGTGCCTCACTGTGTCTGTGCTGCAGAGCATGTACATCTTCCTGCACACGGTGAAAGGAACTCCCTTCGAGACCCCTGACCAGGGCAAGGCTCGGCTGCTCACCCACTGGGAGCAGATGGACTACGGAGTGCAGTTCACAGCCTCCCGCAAGTTCCTCACCATCATGCCCATCGTCCTGTGAGTATTCCAGCTGAGCTGCCTCCTCCTCTTGGCTCTGGCTGAGAGGGAGCTCAGTGTTTGTCCTGTGAGCTGGGGTGGTGTGGAGAACACAGCAATGGGTTGGGTACCACTGAGCAGGGCTGGGACAGCACCATCAGTGCTGCCCCTCAACATTCCAGCACCTGTTAGTAGGCTGGGAGTCTTGGCAGAGGACAGAGCTAGGCTGACCCAAAGGGATATTCCATACCATTTGGGGCAGGTATTGGGATATTGGCCAGGGAGGTGGTGGAGTCACCATCCCTGGAGGTGTTTAAGATCCCTGGATGTGGCACTGGAGGATCTGGTTTAGAGTTTAGGGGTTAGAGCAGTGACAGTTAATGGTTGGAGCTGATGATCTCAGAGGTCTCCTCCAACCTTGATGAGTCTATGTCAGCTCAGAAAAGCTGAAGGAGGAGGAGGAAAGGGAGGACATTCCTTATTACATTTGCCTTCTGGAGCAGCTCGGCTGTCCTGGAGGTGGCAAACCCCTCCTGCCTGTGGGGAGCAGGGAATGAATTTCTTGCTTGGCTTTGCTTGTGTGTGCAGCTTTTGCTTTCCCTGTGAAACTGTCTTTATGTCAACCCATGAGTTTTCTAGCTGTCACCCTTCTGTCCTCTCCCCCATCCCACTGGTGGGCAGTGAGTGAGCAGCTGTGAGGGGCTTGGCTTCTACTGGGGTTAAACCACTACCCCAGTGCCCATCAGTGTCCTGTCCTGGGAAACAACACAGGGAATGCCACAGCTCACTTTGCCTCTCCCTCTGTTCCCTCCCTCTTCTCCCAGGTATTTCCTAACCAGCTTCTATACCAAGTACGACCGGATACACTTCATCATCAACACCATCTCCCTGATGAGCGTCCTGATCCCCAAACTGCCTCAGCTCCACGGGGTGAGGATCTTTGGCATCAACAAGTACTGAGCCCGAGCGGCCGAGGGGCACTGGAATTCCTCCTCTCCAGCCCTTTGCCTCCCCCCACACGGACTGGGATGTGATTTCCCAGTGGCTGTTCAGGCAGATCCCAAGGGACACATTCCACAGGTTGGATCCTCGTGCCCAATACATCCCAACCAGCTCCAGTAGAGTTTAGTGTGGAGCAGGACACGACACCGGATTGTCCTTATCCCTGTGTCCCCCAACACTGAGCCTTCGAGGTACCACGAGGAGGAACTCTGGGGAGAGCCTCATCTGTCCCAGACATGGAATGACGAGGGGAGGGATGAGGGGAAAAGCTTTTAGTGCTGGTACTATTGCTGTGGTAATGCACTTTAAAATCCCTTTCCCTTCCTGAGTGCTCCGAGCAGTTCGTGGGGGAAATCCAAAGGGACACAGCCAGACCTTCCCAAGATTTTATTGTTTCGGGGTCTGAGTCCCAGTTTTAGGTGGGGAGTGAAAGAGGGAAGAGAATGACAGACTTATTTTGCAATCTTAGACAACACTGGGAAGTATTTTCCCAAAGAACAGCACAGGAACAACCTGCAATTCCACAAAGCTCTCAGTCTCCTGCAGCACCATCCATGTGGTCCAGGGAAAAGGTGGATAGATCCTAAATCACACTCAATATATTCAGTTCATACCCAAATCTGTCCAGGTAACTCCTTTCCCCACCCCAAACTGCTGGTCTTTAGGCCCAGGAGGGTTCAGTGTGGCATTTGGATCAAGGGCTGGGACAGGAGATGCCACTGAGCTCCCTGGGACATGGACATGGACATGTGTAGGAGAGGCTGAAGGTGACAGGTACAGGCCAGACAAGGTGGAGGGCTGATGGCTCTAATCAAGCACACAGCCATCCCTGACTTGAATTGGAGTTTTCCTCCTCACTCCAGCTCCTTGGCCACTTCAGTCCATGGTTCTGGGATTTGCCAGCTCTCCACTCATCCATGGACTCCTGGGAAGTGAGGGATGGATTTCTGGCTTGCCTGGAAGTCTCTCCCTCATCTCCATGCCCAAGGGCTGTGTGAGGCACAGCACCAGCAGCAGATGAATCCACCAGCAGAAGGATTCAAAGGGTCACTGACAATAGATTATTTCAGAGAGGAAATAATCCCCTAATATATCCCCTAATAATTCCCCCCTAGAATGATCCCCTAAGGCAGGTTTAGGTGTCCTGGCTGAGACAGCTTTTTACTGTGCAAAATAATCTGGTTTTCCACTGGGCTGTGTGCCACATGGAATGTGTTTTCCCTCTCTGCTCCCCATGAACCCCACGAAATCTTGTTTTTTTGTTGTCTTACTGCTTATGTTGCCTCACCTTTCTGACAATGGGATGAAACCTTTTAAATCTAGTGTTTTTGTTCCTGCAGCAGCAATTCTGGTTGTAGAGGCCGTGGTGGAGAGTGTTGAGGTGTTGGATGGTCTGAGCATAGGACGTGGATTGGAGAACTTGAGGTTTGCACCTAAAATCTGTTGCTATGTGATGATTTTAGCCAAGTTGCTTCACTTCTCTCTCTCAGAGTTACTATGGGATTGCTGCAAGGAAGGAATGCAGGGAGAATCATTCCCTTATACACTTGGAAAGTGGAAATACAAGTGAAAAGGAAGTTTTTCAAGGTGTAGAAGAGTCTGCCTGGAGCCCCCAGAGGGTGACAGATGTGCAATTTCCTCAGTGGGGAGGTTAAACCTTAGGTGGAACCCCCAGGCCATCAGGATTGCTGCTCTAGTTAAGGTACTCTCTACCCTAATCGGCTCTTCAAGCTCCTAGACAATGAGAATTGTGATGCAAACAGAGGTGTTTGAGCAATCAGTTTGGAAGTGACACAGAAATCAGCTGTGTCCCTGCAGGTCCTGGCAGGGAGGCTGAGGCTGCACCCCAAGCGCTGCCCAGACCTGAGTGTCTGCCCAGGCACAACTTCCACCTCCAGAGAGGAGAAAAGGAATTGTTTTGGTAGCAAACAAGGGGAGAAACATCTTGGTTTGCAACGGGAACAGTGTCTGGATGCTCACAAAGGTGACTCCTGCACAGACAGACCCGTGCTGGGTATTTCCAGGCATCAGCACAGCACAGGGGGAAGGTTTGGGAATCTTGGAGAAGGTGTAGATGGAAGGGATCAGCCCTGTTTGGTGAGATTCAGCACTTCCCACAGCCTCCTTGGAGGGGCTTGGACATGTCACTGGTGCTGCTGAGGGACCCTGTGGACATCTGACTGTCCTGCACCAGAGTTGGGAGTACAAACCTCTCAGACAAGCAGGTTTTAAAGCCTGAAGTCCTAAACTTAGAATCAAGGCTCTGCCCAGTGACCAGATGAAGTTTAGCTGCTTTATCTCCCAGGAGTATCTCCCAGGAACAGCCAAGGCAGGGGTTAGGTGCCAGAGACACTTCTCAGCACTGGTGGAGGAACTGAACCAGCCTGGGCTCAGGGAATCCAGCCCAGGGAGACAGGAATGAAAACAGGAGGAATGTGGAGAGAAGTGAGTTGGAGAGAAGTGTCATGTTCTGTCGGGATGTGTGAAGTTTCTTCCTATGATTGGTCAGGATTTGAGCCATTACACACCTGGGAGAATCTTCCTGGGATGACGTGAAGTTTCTTCTTATGATTGGTCAGGATTTGAGCCATTACACACCTGGGAGAATCTTCCTTAGGGTCCTGACTTGGGTTTGGCTCAGGATTAATCCCAACGGAGAAGAAGTGAGAAGTTAACTGTCAGGAAACCACAGCTGTGAGGAGTGTGAGGGCAGCACTGAGGGCTGAGAGGTTGTCAGACGTGTCCTTGCAGGGGACAGAGCAGATATCAGGGCTGAACTCACCTGTTTGGTTGAAGAACTCAAACATGAGCTCAGTGACTGTCCATTC